AATGCACACGTTGCTGCCTAGCCGTGCTGCTACTGCAATGCACGCGCTGCTGCCTAGCCGTGCTGCTGCTGCAATGCACGCGCTGCTGCCTAGCCGTGCTGCTGCAGCAAAGCACGCGCTGCTGCTGCAATGCGCGTGCTGCAGTGGCGTGCGCGGCTGCCGCTGGCTAACGCGCGCGCTGCTGCGGGCTAAGAACGACTACGCGGGCCCGCGGGGGGGGGGGGGGAGAGTCCCTTCTGGAGCGCGACGAAACGAGGGGCCAGCGGGGCCCTGTAAACGCGACGAAAAACGAGGCCCGCGGGGGCCCTTAAACGCGACGAAAACGAGGCCCGCGGGGGCCCTTAAACGCGACGAAAACGAGGCCCGCGGGGGCCGTCCTACCCGCGACGAAACGGGGCCTAAGGGACGGGCGCCTCGGGACCGGCTAAGGGAGGGAGCGGAAGCGTGGGAGGGAGTAAAAAACCTACTCTAATACCATCTTAAGATAGGCTAGGAGACAAGTGTCGAGAGTAATGTTTGAGTAAGGAGAGACAAGGAGATACAAATGTCGACCTAAAGTGTTGTACCCTTTAGAGGGCAACTCACTGTAGCCTATCTAACAATATATACAATATATAAACATTTGACACAATATACTGTGCATATCAAAGCAGTGACTTCATAGCCAAGCAAACATGCCACACTATAGCATCCAGAATTCAGAATCTAGCAGACATAGAAAGACAGTTCGGGAATCCCAGCCATACCAATTCATCTTGATAGCGCAAACAAAAGAGGCAAGCCGACGCCAAGGCTAGTCCTTCGTTTGACAGTGCCGAGAGTGTTGTTTGACTCTGCTCACAAGCCACTTAACTTGACTTGATAATCAGCGGGAGTTGTCTGTGGACCAACCAGGAACGTTTCTGCCAGGTCCGAGTCTAGTAGCAAACACCTGGGCAAAGAGGGCTTTGCAAATGTAAGTATCATTTTAAGTGGGGCCTTTTAGACAACCTTGGGCATGCATGTCTTATCTTATACACTAGAAAAAATACTTGGGCTGTCTTGTATTGGGGGAGGTTTTGGATGTCTTAAAGTCTTATAAGTGGAAACATTTTAAATACTTCAAATATTTTTCACACATCTTGAAATGAGTTCCTCATAATGAGTGTGAATGTTGCGAAGGTTCTCATTTTGGCAACCATTGTTCAAGACGGCACGTCATGGAGGATGCCTGCAAAGGCAAATCTTGTAATACTTGAGTCAGCACGTGGCAGAATCCGCGTTTCGGAAGGGTAAAAATGTATGCGGTATTTCATTTTTCACTATAGTATACTGCAATTTTGATTATAAGACACACATGTCTTTGCACGTTTACGCACATAGGTATCTTATAATCGAGAACATCCATTTATATGAAACACCAGTTCTAAAGACAAGCCCAGTCTTCTATTCAACAATGTCTTATATCCGGGCGATGACGGTAGCGTTGCTCATGTTCCCTCTACTTGCGCTTTTACATGACACATTAGCAAGAGTTTGACTAGCAAAAATTGGGATCACAATGATACAATAGCAATGGCAAAATGTGACTACATCTGGGACATAGCAAGCCTAGCAAGCAAGCAGGTCGACTTCCAGCTGAGCACGAGGGCAGCCCGCCAGCATGGCAAGTCGGCGGCGTGACAACGCACCTTAAAGGTAGCTTGACATCACTACAAGGCAGTGATCTGCCAGCATTGCACCGAGGCGGCTTGCCAACGCTGAAGCAGGGCGGCCTGCCAGCGTTGCACCCACATGTGCACGCATGTAGGTTGATGATCGAGCGCATCGTGCACCGTCACACGCATCACGCGGATGCCAAATCGGCCATGTGCCGTCAGTTGCGCCCGATGCACCACATCAACCTTGGGATACCAGGCCGCAGGCCGACTTCGCCAAAGCATCCAGGACAATGTTCGCGCGCCTGCAGAACTTCGTCGCCTTGGTTACTTGGTTGACCGATGAAGCCCCAAAGTTGGCGCCGACCGTAGTTGGCCATCGCTCGTAGGTCGACGAACTCCCCCGTCGACCGCCTAGGCCGAAGCTGTCCGCTGACTTCACAGTGGTCCCATAGAGGAGTTTGACGTCCTCTGTCGACTACCTTCCCAAAGTTGACGTCGACCACTGCAGGCTGCCGGCTGAACACCCGACTGCGAGGTCGGCTTCGCCCAAACGAGGGAAAGACTATTTCTTGTTAACACTCCCCTGCCCAGCACACGCTTGGGCACACATACACGAGTTCTGCCCAGAACATGCTTCGTCAGGATGTGTTGCAGCATAACCTTCTTGCACTCCACCATTTGCTGCCGCCACACTTCGCGTCGCTCCATATGCTTGATGTTGCCCTTCAGCCCCGAGCCTTCGGCGACTACGATAGCCAGCGTGTTGACCACGTTAAAGACAGTCGGCATCCCAGTGTTGAGCAACTGGAACTCGGTGAGGAGAAAGGGAAGGCGGAGACATTCCTTGCCGGTTTCCGTAGCCGCGATGTACTTCGACTCCGTCGACGATGGAGTCACGCACTTGATGCGCTGACTCTTCCAGGAGACGGAGGCCCCACCAAAGATAAAGACGTAGCCATTCGTTCTACTACACGCTTGCTTGTCACCGATTAAGTTGGCGTCCGTGTACCCGACCAGACGCAGCGACACAGGTCCGCCGCCAAACTCCAGGGTGACGTCACGCATTTCGGCGAGGTTCAGCTCCAAGTTGTGGGCTAACTTGAATGAGCCACATATGTTCTCCCATAATTCCCTAACCATGTTATCACCACAGACAACAGACCAATGTCCGTGATCAGACCCCGCCTTCCGTGGTGTGTACCCCAAGCGCCACAACTTACTTCGCCACATCGACGTCGTTCTTGGCGCATGATGCAGGTAATTCCCCTCATAAACCATCTCCCAAAGTGAGAGGAAGTGGCGCGAGCGATTATCATTTTCTTGCAGTGGTATACTGCATGCTTCAGGAATCTCTTCTATACCGAGCAATCGCTCGCTTATGTGAGCCCCCAGGTTGTCTGCTACAGAGATGATGTGGATTAGGCACAAACCGGCTCGACACCGCGAAAGAAACGCTAGTAAGCCACACGTCTTCCTTGTTGTGATGGTAGGCTGGTGGGGGCTCACGGGGCAGGAAACACCAAGTTGCGTTTAGAGTGGAGACTGGTCAAAGTCCGTCTTCTCTTGCATCTGACAACCACAATCCGTGACCGGGCCATGCCTCTGTAGTTTCGGTGCAATTTATCATACCGTTCTGTTCTATTTAGCAATGACATTCCTAGGACAAAATCGAACCTTGTCATGCTTTTAATTCCAACTTAAATATAGAACTATAAAATCAGGACATCAAGAAGTACCTGTTGGAACTGTAGCGAGGCAGAGGGATAACTCAAAGTATCAAGTGGGAGAATGGGATCCGTTGGCTGTGCGAAGGCACCGTTGCAGCAGAACGGTGACCACCGACATAATTTACTTAAGCATTAGGCTAGGAGGTGCTCTTTGCTTGTGTGTTGGTTTTCACAACCAATATGTAATTGAGACTAGCGAACAACCAGTAACCATCCAGGTGGAGCCAAACCCCACAAGCATTTGGCACAGAGTTGTGACAAGGGAGAGCCAGCCGAGCTGGCCCATAGAGGCCTCTCCCCCTGCTGAGACGGGAGAGGATACCGTACTTTTAAGTGGATAGTACTGGAAGGAAGACAGGGAGGATGCCCAGGGAGGGCATTGCTGGAGTGAGGGCAGCAAGGACACGAGAACAACAATGCAGGAGGAACAAAAGCAACAGGAGGAATGATTTCCTACAACCCTTTTCATTTGAGACAAGCATTACGGCATGTTACCTCCAACCCTGCTACCGCAGCACCCCACCTTAAATGGGCACTTTCTTTGGATGGTTCCTGTCTCTAGATGGTTCCTCAGCTAATCCTTTTTTTTTTTTTTTTTTTTTTTTTTTTTTTTTTTTTTTTAAATTATTTATTCTCCCCCCTAGTCACGCATCCACTCTAACCGTTCAATCTGAGCCAGCTGCCACCATCCAATGCACACTACCATAAGAACACAACCCCCCATGTCAAAAAGCTGCCTGTGGCAGGACTCAGCAGTCCTCTACATGACTCCCTTTGAGAGAAAACATCCTTACAATGCTCTGGCTGCTGCTCAAACCGCGATTATAAATTTCTGGCTCCCCTGATACAATGACAATCGTTCCTGTAGTGGCTGCTTCTGTATCTGCTCCTCCTGCTGCTTTTCCTGGTTCTGCTGCTGCTGCTGCTGTGTGATAAGCGGCTATGTCCACAGCTACCTTCTTTTCTGATGCGAATTTGCCTCCAGACCCACCATGCACTGGCGAGAACATGGGCAATCCCTGTCCCACTGATGACCCCAGCGCCACGGATGGTGACTATTAGGTCGACTCAAAGGTCACATTTTCTAATGCATATTTGCCTCCAGAACCACCATGCACTGGCGAGAACAAGGGCAATCCCTGTCCCACTGACGACCCCAGCGCCACGGATGGTGGCAGTCCCACAGCGGTGCCAGTCCTGTGAATGATCCCATGAGTTCACCTGCACTTGTGTCGCCAGCATGTGTCAGATTCGTGGTGCTACCATGACCGTTGCTGCTGTTTTGACCGTTGCTGGGTGGAACACCAGAGTCAACGGGGAGTGTGGTGCGGCAGTCTATGCTGGTACCGGAGTGGTGGCTGAACCCACTGACCATGCTGCTGCTGATTTCCATGTTGTCGTCCTCATCCACATCTAGTAGAAGTGCCTCCAGCTCCTCTAGTTCCATCCCATGTACCGACGTCACCATATCCTTTCCTCCTTCTGCATCTCCCTCTGCTGTCACTGCCATTCCTGAACCAGCTGCTGCTACCCCTGTTGCTACTACTGTTTCTACCCCTGCTGCTGCGACTCCTGCTGCTCCAACTCCCACACCTGCGGTCAAGCTTTCTTCTCCATGATCCATCCCCAAACCATGTGCTCCTGCGCCCCAGCTGCTGCTACGGATCATTCCCTCCAAGCCACCCCACTGTCCCATCCTCTCTCCTTCCATCCCTTCTCCAGCCACCTCCGTTTCTCTGATCTCCCACACACTGGTATGCAGCAGGTCACTAAAACACCTCCCATACAACCTTCCCTGTCCCTCCAGCTCTTCATGCATCGACTGGGATTGGTGATACTCTCGGCTGTGGGAGGTGCGGAAGGGCGTTTCATACTGGTTGGCGCCTTGACTTAGTGCCTGAAGTGGTAGAGAGACAGCGGGACAAGAAACGCTTCTCTGCCATGGAAGATCAGGAATCATTCCTTGCTGATGAGGCATGTGCTCCTGAGCCCTTAGCCATGGGTAATCGGCCCTGGGCTCATCCACATGGGCTTGCTTACATTTGGAGTCTTCTTCTGCTGTAGGGTGTTGCTGCTTCTGCTTATCAGGACTGAGTCTCTGCTGTTGAAGTGTTTGATGCTGGTGGAGTTCAGCATGCTGCTGCTGCTGCTGCTGCTGCTGCTGCTGCTGCTGCTGCTGCTGCTTCTGCTGCTTCTGCTGCTGCTGCTGCTGACGTTGCTTCTCCTCCTCCTTCTTCTGCTGCTGGCGTTCCTGGACCTGGTACTCAAATTTCCCCCCTTGCTGTCCTTTGTGCCTTTTTACCCGCGAGGATGCTGTCGCGGGTGCTACAGAGGGTGCTGCGAAGGGTGCTACAGAAGGTGCTGCAGAGGGTGCAACAGAGGGTGCAACAGCTGCATGTAAGGGGGTGTATTCATCATGCTCCTGCTGCTCCTGCTGCTGCTTCTCATCCCCCTTCTGTGGCTGCTGGCGTTGCTGGTCCTGGTACCCAGATTTCCTCCCCTGGCTCTTGCAGATCCTCAACAAGGATATCTGGATCTGCTGACCTGTCCCCTTCTTCACCTGAACCAGCAGCACCAGCAGTACCAGCAGCAACAGCAGCATCAGCAGTACCAGCAGCAGCTGCAGCAGCCGTATTATCAGCAGTAGTAGAAGAAGCTGCACCAGTCGCCCCTTCTTGCCGTAGAGCCCTCTGCTGTTGGGGGACTAGCTGGGGAGTGATAACCTGCTGCGCCTGCCTGCTTGTCAGCTTCTGCCAGTTCGTTTTCTTGCTGGTTGTTTGCTTATGTTCTACCTGCTCTCAGTCACCCTTCTCCTGCTCCTTCTGCCCGTCCTCTTGTCTACAGTCCAGTTCTACCCTCCAGTCCAGTTTTTCCGCCATTTTCTGCTTCTTCTGCTCCTTTCGCATCTGCTGCTCTTCTTCCGTTTGTTGCTGCTCTCCCATTCCATTCCCACCGTCCACACCACCATCAATCCTGCCGCTTCCAGGCGGCTTCAATTCAAACAGATAGTGCTTGGAAGATGGCAAGTTCTCCGGGCAGAGCGGACCCTTCAAGAACTCCCCTGCTGGTCTGCTGCTTTTCGGCTGATTGTCTGCTGAGGTGCTGCTTTGCTTGTCTGCTCCCACTGCTGCTCCTGTTCCTTCTACCTTCATTGGAGCTGCTTCGACTGCTTCTTTCTCTGCTGCTCCTGTTTTTGCCACCTTTGCCACTATTGATGCGTCTTCCTCCTCTGGACCTACAGGCATCATTGCACCTACAGCTGCTTCTCGGTTTGCCACAACGCTGCTCGGCACATCCACAGGCATTGCGCACCAAGAGGAGTTAGGGGACAGGCTGCTCGCGAGGGTAGATGGGGAGTTACTCTGCGGAGAATTTAGTGAGGGTGAATCACCGCTACAGTGCACGCCATGCACTGATAAACCCGCGTGGTGCCCTGCCACTGGTGCCTCTTCGTCCCTCTCTGGTTTTCCTTTGGGTGAAGGAGCCCCACACTGCTGCTGCATCACCATCGTCTGCTGTTCCACCATCTCATTCCGGTCTTTCACCATCACCTGTGCTACCACAGCCTGCTTTGCCACCACCAGTTCTTGCTCCTCCTCTGTCAGGGAGCTTCGCTTGAGCACTCTCACAACCACCCACGTCCTGCCGATTCTTCGACCGCTCCCAGGTTCGGACTTTGGACTGCTGGCTTTAGGACTGCTCGTGATGCTGTTCCTGCCTGACCCACCACTTGGATCTCCACTTCCATCCGCCGCATTGCTGGTGTCTGGGTTTATCGCTTCACTTTTTCTGCTGCTGGCTCGGCCTACAGCAGTACCACCTGCTGCATCTGCACCAGCCGAGGTCCCTTTGGGGGTAGTAGCAGCTGTAGCTGCTGGGTTCGATTCGCTTTCTGCAGCTGTAGCGTGTGCCGCGGCTGCAGCAGCCGGTCCAGCTACAGGCGAATCATCTGCCAGCCGGTACTCGTGCATGACCCAGTCTGTCTTGTCCCCTCCTGGCGCTCGGCCCCTGTGCCACACCAGAAAAACGACAAAAAAAAAACAAAAAAAAACAAAAAAAATCGGACGACATAATGAAGAGTGTTTTAACCACTCAAACACGGTCCAAAGACCTGAACATTTCATTCCAAGCCCGGTCTTGTCCCCTCCTGATGCTCATCCCGTATTCCATAAACAAACAAGGATTTGGAAGAATTGTTATATGAATGAAGAGAAATTTAGCCGCCAAACTGATTCTCCAAAGAAACAAACAATCTTTCTAAACCCCCCCCAAAAAAAAAACTTTAACAAGACAACATAAGACCAGAGAAAGCAGTCTAGAGACTCAAACACACAACCTGAACACCTGATCTCTACATGAGGAGTGCGGAGAAATTGCAGCACTGAACTCACATGTAGAAGACATGAGTTCTTTTCAAAACCGCTATGACTGTCTGCACCCTTTTTCCGTCGTTAACACCGCTGCTGCCGGGGAGCCGCACGTGCACTGGCTTGCCCTTCCCAGTGGCCTTCCAGTACCCAGCGGTTGTGGATCGGTCGGATTGGCACCCTGATGGGTACTTGAGGTCACGGGACGTGAAGAAGAACCACTCGCCGCCGCCTGGAATAGGGCACACTGCTTTGGCTGGGAGTGGAGTAGAGGGAATGGTGAATGAGGGAGAGGAGAGAGTAGAAAGGGCTAGATTGAGGTCGTGGGATGTGAAAAAGAACCACTCGCCGTCACCAGGAATAGGCCACACTGCTTTGGCTGGGAGTGGAGGAGAGGGAAAGGTGAAAGAGGGAGAGAAGAGAGCGGAAGAGAATAGATTGGGGTCACGGGATGCGACAAAGAACCATTCGCCATCTCCAGATATTGGGCATGTTGCTCTGGCTGGGAGTGGTGCAGAGGGAGAGAGGAGGGCAGTAGAGGAATGAGTGGTGAAGCAGAGAAGAACCACTCGTCCCCAGGAATAGGGCAAGGTCAAGGTGGGAGTGAAGGAGAGGGAATAGTGCGATGGGGAGAGAGGAACTTAAGGCCGCTAGGAATGCAAAGAAGAGTGACTTGTTTTCAACGATTGCGTATGTTTGGAGTAAGGCGGTCGATAGAGTTGAGGATTAGATGAGCATGGGGAAGGGGTGCTTGAGGGCTCTAATCAAAGAGCCAGTCAACATTGGCAGCAAACAGCCAACGTGTGCTGGAAACAGCAAACAGCTAGAAGACTGGAATCAAACAAGTTGTTTGCTCCAGCTGGTAATGGAGGGGGGGGGAGACAATGGGAGGATAAGAGGGAAAGAGAGGTCTTGTCAAGCAAAGTGGGCCAGTTTTTGTCGGCGCTGTGGGACCTGAAGGGGAGAGTTTGGAAAAGGAGGTGGAGTTTTTCTGTGAAGTCAAGATACCAGCCTATGTCGCTGGGGTGTTAATGGGACAGGGGGGGAGATGAGATGAGGTCTTGATAACCAGCCTATGTCGCTGGAGTGTTAACGGGACAGGGGGGGAGATGAGATGAGGTCAAGATAACCAGCCTATGCCGCTGGGGTGTTAACGGGACAGAGGGGGAGATGAGATGAGGTCAAGATAAGCAGCCTATGTCGCTGGGGTGTTAACGGGACAGGAGGGGAGATGAGATGAGGTCAAGATAAGCAGCCTACGTCGCTGGGGTTTGGTGCTCTGGCTGTTAATGTGACAGGGGGGAGCTTCTTTTGCGTTCGCACCAGAAAGCATTTGATGGGGAACTTATAAATAACAAATTGCTGACAGGCGTAGTGAGGCTTGGTCCAGGGATTCTATTCTACTACTGAATCGTATGAGAGAGATATGAAAGGGGATGATTGGTACTCCAGATGCAGTGGCCTGGTAGCATGACTGATTCAGACCGCTAGATTAGTACCGTGGAAATTGCATTTCCCCCTGTGTGCGTGCTACGTGTGGGGTCAACTTCGAGTCAGGGGGTCCGTTGTCCAGAAAAAAACGCTAACATAAAAGTAACCACAGGGTCACAACATGGTGCTAGTAGTGACCCAAGGGAAACCATCGGGTCAGGGACAGGTCACTTGGTAGTAGTGACCTTGGGGATCCCAATCTCCATAGGTGAGCCTCAGGTCGTCAACTGTCTGCAGTAATACTCCTTCAAGGAGTAAAAAAACTACAAACACGCTACAAGACGGCTCACTCGCTACAAGATGGCTCACTCCCATGAAATCCCCCCATGCACCACGGCAGTACAGCCTCCAAAGTCTCTCTGTTTGCAAGCTCGACCTCTTTCCAAGCTTGCGTTTCCTAAACGCTCGCATGGCACGAAGGTCCCATGCATGGCCGTCGCAAGTCCTAAGCTCAGAACTTACTGTACTGAGGTATCCTAGATTCAGCCCGTACTAGCTTGTGAATGCTACAAGAAAGTCGCGTCAGTCGCTCAGGGGGAGGAGAGGGGTTGGATTGACTTCCAAGGAAGTTATGTCAGTCACTCGAGCCCAACAAAATGTATAATAACAGTAACGGCCAAACCATAACGGGTTAAAGATCCTGAAGACATCCAATCATTGCGTAGTGCTGAGCATCATTGGCGCTCATTTGGCCAATCAGAACTCATTTGTCATACTGGTATCCGTCATAAGCTGGGCTGCCGCCGCATTTGCGTAGTTACCCGTCACCAGAACTGGCCAATGAGGACGAATTTTCGCAAATCAGAGACTCTTCGACGAATTATCGAACTTTGATTCGTGTGAAAGCAATCGCAGATAATTCGAAAGCATACCAGAAGGTGAGGGGGGAGGAGTGGTGTTGACGGTGGTTAGCTAACCACGACCTAGCACAACCTGGAGTGACCTACATCGACCTAAGAAAAACCTACTTTGACGAGCTGAGACTATGGGGAAGCGAGGACCTAAGAAGAAGAGAGACTACCTATGTTGGGACGGTGGAAGGAGAAACACGGTAGCAGCGCGACCTGCAGTGGGAAACGAAGAGAAGGAGAGGAAGCGTGCTGAAATGGAGAAGAACATGGCTGAAATGTCGTGCTGTCAAGTGACGTGAAGAGAAGTCACGCCGGGTCAAAGGCGCGTCCAAGGAAGTCTGAATTTCGAACTCGAGGCGCGTTCCGTGCATGGTTGGATTTGGAAATTGAGCCGAAGAAAATGCGTCATTCAAAAAAACCAGAAGAAAATGCGTCATTCAAAAAAAGGAGTAAGCAAGCCTTTTTTCAATTGTGCCATTCGGTTTCTGACAGCATTGCAGTGGGGCTGGATCAATTTGCGGGAGAGGAGAACTCTGCCGAACGAGCCTGGGAGTACATGGAAGCTGCTTACCTTGGGCTTACGGATACGAACAAAGCAGCCATTCGGAAGAAACTCCTTCTATTGAGTATGGAGCCGGGGGAGAGGGTCATTGACTACATGAATCGAGCAAAGGGGTACAATGACGACCTCAAGGCGATGGGGGCAGCTGAAACTGGAAGGAGAAATGATGGGGTACATCATTACTAGGCTGCCCAAGGAGTGGGAAGCAGAGATATGGCTCCTAACCTGCAACCCACCCGCGAATATGACCAAGCTGTTGGAGACGCTCCAAGCCCTGGAGCGGGTGAAAGCTGATCGGCTCAGGAAGGAGATTAGCTTGAGCGGAATGGGACCAGTCACTCATGCTATGGTAAACGCAGCAGCGACAGGGAAATGATACGGAGGTTTCGGGGTGTGTTTTCAGTGTGGGAAGAAGGGTCATAAGCAGATAGACTGCTATGACAACCCGAGGAGCAGAAATTTCGAGGGAAAGTGGAGCGGTCCGCAGCAAAGGGGCCTGCAAAATGGAGGGCAGCAGAGAGAGGGGGAGGTTCGAGGCGATAACAAGATGCAGAGAGGCGGATTTTCAGGGGCATGTCACTATTGCCAGAAAATTGGGCATAGGGCAGCCAACTGCTACTCGAACCCGAACAGCAGGAACTACCGAGGGGCAAACCAGCAGCAGAATCAACCACCAGCAGCAAAAGCAAATGCAGTGGAAGCTGAAAACAGTGAGGCGGACGTAATTTTGGGGGGAGCTCACAAGGCAAACGTGGCAAGGGCATCGGGAGTGTGTTTGATGGCAAAGGGGTTTGATGAAGCTGCGTGGTTCATGGATAGTGGCTGCACGCAACATATGACCAATCATCGTGAGTGGCTTACCGGATTGAGGGAGTCTAGTGTACCCTACGTTCTATTGGGCGATGAAGGGAAACTGGGTGTGAAGGGGGAAGGAGAGTTGCTGCTCCAGGGAGAGTACGGGGAGCTGAAACTGGAGAATGTGCTTTTAGTGGAGAAGCTGTCACTGAATCTGATCAGCCAAACTCAACTTGACAGCACGGGGTGCAAAACCTTCAGCGACAAGGGGAAGCTGTGGGTTTTCAATGAGGATTGGAAGGTGGTTGCAGAAGGGAACAGAAATCAGGGGTTGTATGAAATGAAGCTGAGAAAGAAGGGGCTGGAGGATGAGAATGCCACCTACCTGCCATCACTCGAAGGGGACCTAGCTAGAGAGGAGTTGAAGGCTTGGCTTGGTGGCTTACCAGTGAAGGAGCTGCAGCAGGAAGCTTCAGCCATGGTGGTTGGGATGGAGAAGGTGGAATTGGAGACCTTGCACAGGCGCATGGGGCATGCAAGCATGGATAGGGTCAAGGAGTTGGTAAAAAAGGGCATGGTAAAAGGTGTGGCACTGAAGGAGGGGGCTAGAAGCAAGGGAAAATGCAGCAAGTGTGTTGAAGGTAAAATCACAAAGTCCCCTCACCCCCACCACCAGGTACATGAGCCTTATGACACCTTGGACATCGTAGCAGCCGATGTGTGTGGGCCTATGAGGGTGGCGTCACGTCACGGCAGCCGCTACTTCGTTACCTTCACTGATTTGGGAACAAGGCACACATGGGTGACGGAGCTGAAAGATAAGGCAGAAGTGTTTCCTAGCTTCGTGACTTGGATGGCGGAAGCGGAGCGGCAAAGTGGGAAGGTGTTCAAAGTTTTGAGGACAGATAATGGTGGGGAGTTTACAGGGGACCTGTTCAACAAGTTTTTACAGAGTAAGGGCATCCGACGGCAGCTGACTATACCCTACACTCCACGGCATAATAGCATAGCGGAGCGGGTGAACCGTTCTCTACTGGATAGTGTGAGGAACATGTTGGCAGATAGTGGGCTGCCACTGAAGTTCTGGGGTGATGCATTGGCAATGGCGTGCTGGTCCAAGAACCGCCTACCTACCAAGGGACTTCGGGCAGATATGACTCCCCACAAGGCCTTCTATGGCAGGAAGCCAAATCTGGGGTTTGCCCGGGTGTGGGGGAGTATGGTGCAATACAGAGAGCCAGCCGGTCCGGATCATAAGTTGCTGCCCAAGGCTCATTGGGGGATTAACCTCGGTACCTGCCCAGTGAGCAAGGGGTGGGTGATCAAGGATGTAATTTCAGGAAAAGTCACGATCACCCGAGATGTTGTCTTCTACGAGGAGGTGAACTACCTGCAGTGGAAGGGAGTAGAGAAAGAGATTGCAGCAGCAGGGACAGCAACTGCACCGGACAAGGTGGATGATCTTTTGGAGGAAAAGGAGAGTGAGGGAGTTGGGTATGAAGGAGATGAGGAACTCGAAGATGTGGAACGGGCAGCTTCAGTTGATTGGGTGTGGGAGAAGGCACCAACCAGTGAAGCGGATGAAACCAATGGAGTGGAGATAGCAGGGGAGCAGCCAAGCAATGAAGTAGCCGAGGGTGGCAATGAAGAGGTGGTTGGAGAAGAAGGAGATGAAGAATCAGCAGCTGAAGGAGATAGTGATCCATGGAACCTTCTAAACAGTGATGACAGCAATGTCAAGATGAGGGAGATAGAGGAATTACTTGAGGAGGGCGCCATCGTGATTGGAAGGG